AACGAGCAAAATGCCTTCCTGATCTAGCAGGACATGTCTTTAGACAGCACAATTTTCATAGAACGTAGAAGTTGAATCCTTGGCTGCCTGTCCAAAATAGGCAGCTTGGTCAAGTATTTTATAGACAAAGGAGAGGAAGGATTTAAGATGATAACTATAGAAGTGATGAGATCTAAGGAAGGAGTTTTCAATACTGTGTTCCTACTAGTATGCATATCAGATAAGAATATGATCTATTCAGTTAAGTGATAACACCATACCAGTTCTGACTTTTTTTTGCCTATTGGCTACATTATAGCAGACTCCAATTATCTGCATAACCTGCTTAAATGCATAGGAACTTCTTGGCTCCACTGTCTACACTGCAAAGTAATTGTACTCTGTTTAACTGTGTAATTGGTGACTGAGTTGGAAGCCTTGATGGCTTCTAAGCAGCCCTGAACTGACTAGGTCCCCACAATTTAAAAGCTGCTATTAGAGGCATAAGGTGCCCTTGGGAACAAGGTAAGGAGCTTTAATGAGGTGAGAAAAACCTTAAGGCTGTTCCTATAGTAAATAAGTCTTGTTTACCTAGAGTTTAAGTGCGTACTCACATCACAGCCTTTTTTTCAGTCCTGAGCACTGAGTGGTTGTGCACCATGTAGGAAACTCAAAGATGTGGATGCAGACACAGGGGATGACTCAATAGAGGGGTTGGGAACAAGGTAAGGAGCTTTAATGAGGTGAGAAAAACCTTAAGGCTGTTCCTATAGTAAATAAGTCTTGTTTACCTAGAGTTTAAGTGCGTACTCACATCACAGCCTTTTTTTCAGTCCTGAGCACTGAGTGGTTGTGCACCATGTAGGAAACTCAAAGATGTGGATGCAGACACAGGGGATGAATCAATAGAGGGTGAGGAATGGATGAGAAGAAAAGATGAAGTTATGATTTAGTAGGGGATGAAGAAAAAGAAACAAACCTAAGAGCTAGGAACACAAGAGATGGGAGACCTCAGAATAAGTGTGGTGGGGAAGCACAATGGATTTGAATTATGGACAGAAAAAGCAAAGGATGAAGAGAAGACAGGTTTACCTGTTCATTCTGTTTGGTTTTTGCGTTTTTTTTTGTTTTTGGGGGGGGGGGGGGGGGTTGGAATCGTATGGTCCTGGCTGTAGAAAGGGAATTCAGAGATCAGACAGCAGTGTTTGTTAGCCATCACATGAATTTTCAGGACAGTTAATGGAGGAAATTAAATGAAACAAATAGGATGGCTGGGGTGGCAGCTGACTCAGGAAAGTTGGAAAAAAAACACAGATGCCAGGGAGAAAAGTATAGGGTTGAGGATAGAGGCAAGAATTACAGTTAGAGAGTAAGGCCAAGAGAGCTGAGGTTGATAGCCAGATAGAGTGGCTATTAGTGTGGATGAACTGGGATGAGAAAGAGAGGAAAAAGTGGCTGAAATTGGCAGGCAAGGAAAGGACGAAATTCATTATCAATGCTTTCGAGTTTCGCAAATGAGTAAGAGAAAAAGCACCTGGGGAGACACCAGACACAGACGCTGGGGCAGAGGAGAGAGAGAGGTTTCAAGATCAGGAAGAGGTACAGGCAGG